TCACCTCCCACATGATGAGGCGCCCTGATTTGGTGACCCCAGCCTTTTGCGTCCTGCCAGCAGACACCTGCACCACTTCGGTGTTGAGCATGGGCAGGCGGAGCGGGGTGGTGATCCCGCTCCCCCAGGTGTAGATGGATGACAGAGGAGGAGGAATGCCAGTCCTGGCCGAGCCACCGCGAGCACCTGTTGGGCAAAGAGAAATCAGGACACCACATCCCTGATTCAATTTCCACAGGAAGAGGAACAACACACAGCATCCAGCCTGGGTACCAGCACAGCTGGCTACCAGCAAGCAGGGCCAGTGCAGCTCAGAGAGCTGCCAAGGGGCTGCTGGGGCTCAGGGAAGGTGACTTCTCCATAACTTCCTCCCTCCAGGAGCTTGAAGGCCCTCAAGACTCCCAGATATTCAAAATAAAGGGCTCTTCCAAGCAGACATGTGCTGAATGTGCTGTGCCAAGACTCACCCCTTGGCCTGGCGCTGCTCACTCGTCCCCCCGTCCGGCTGTGGGCCACCGTTGGCACCGGGGCCAGGGGTTTCTCAGGCCTGCCAAACCAAAACACAGCCCTTACGGTCAGCTCAGCCCTGCAGGTCACGCGCAGCCCCGGATTGCAGAGGAGCTGGGCAGAGCTACAGCACAAGCTACAACTGGATATCCCACAGAACTGCCTTGGTCAGTGCTTTAAGCCGCCTCAGAGAGGGCACTCCACTTGCCTTCTCATTTTGACACTGCCCACATCAGTGTAGAGGTTCAGGAGGGGACGAATACAGATGGCCTGGGCCATGATCTCATTCAGCTGGGGCCGCTTGGAAGGATCCAGGTTCAGCATGCTGAGGATGAGCTGGCGCAGGTCGGGGCTGTATCTATCCGATATCGGGGCAAACGTTCCACTCATGATCTTCAGGACCAAGGCAGGAAGATTCTGGAGAGAAAACAAGACAGACAAACACCGGGTGACCAAAGTGAGACCACAGAGCAAGATGTTCCCAGCAGTGCTCTCCACCCTCACACCTTCGGGTTCAGTAAGAAGCATAATCCAAGTGCATGTTTTCACATCCACAAGAAACCACAATCTCCTGTGTCTTAGATAAACTATATGCCTCTTACCGCAGCTTCAAAAGCCCTCTTGAGGCTGGCAAGTTCATACAGCACGCAGCCCAAAGCCCAGATATCACTCTTCTGGTTGTATGGCTTCCCTTCGCAGAGCTCTGGGGAGATGTAGCACGGAGTTCCCACAACCTAGAAGAGAGATGGAGAGATCCAGCATGACTACAAAACTGGAACAGGGAGGTGGAAAGAGAAGGGCTCAGCCTAGAGCCCAGGCAGGTTAGAACACCACTAATCGGAGCTCGGGTGAGCTGGGTATGTGTTCCTGCTGGCAGTGCCTGGCTGACAATCTCATCTCAGTAATAATGATGAGGATTTGTCTTTCTGGACACATCCCTCTCACCTACCAAGATTATATCTGGTTTTGGTCCTATCCATTTGAGAGAAGCAGCACCTACCGTGATGCATATGGTAAAAATGCCTAGACAGATTAGTCTTGATGGTGAATGATACTGAAGTCTCAGGAAAGAGAAGAGATTAAGGCAAAGCAGGACAGCAGGACACTAACAGGAATTCAGTCACCAGGTACAGGTCACACCAGCCTGCCAAAACCACCCTTCCCACTGGGAGAAACCCTGTCTGTCCCCTGCAGTGGGCTCAGACACCCCATGCTCTCCTGGGCTTGGGCTGACAGGTCTTTTTCACCTACTTGCAGCCTCCAGAGCTGCAAGAAACTTAAGCAAGAACACACCATCCTGGATAAACCCCAAGGAGCAAGGAGCATCACGCTGATGCAGCCTCCTGCATCTATGCCATGTCCAATCTCGCTGTGTACATCAGCTTCCCAGAAATAACAAGGAGCCAAATCCAGAGTTTCAAGCCTTGCTGCCACGATGGGAATTAGTTCCCCTCCCGCAAAGCCAGGGCACCCACCGTGTAGGCTTTGCTCTTGCTGCTCAAGATTTTGGAGATGCCAAAGTCTCCAATCTTGACAATCATGCGATGCTTGTCCAAGAGGATGTTCTGAGTCTTCAGGTCACGGTGCAGAATCTGCTTGGTGTGCACGTGGTGAAGAGCCAGGAGGATCTGCACAAAGAAGTGCAGGATGGTATCCTCATCCAGCAGGGAATTACAGCGTTTATGAATAAACTCTGCTAACGTCCCCCCTGCAAAAACAGCACAGGGTTGTTGGCAAGAGTGGCTGCACAGGGCACCATAAACCCAACCTAAAAGCAGGGGTTTCAGAGCCTCTTAACAAGCTGAATGCATGGGAAGTGGCACATCCTGGTGGGACACCCAGCACGTCCTCTGGTGCTCCCAAGACTGTGCGGACAACAACGGCAGCACAGTTGGTGGGACAAAGAAATAGCAAGAGAGAAGTTGCTGTTGACATATTGTCAAAAAGAGCAGGAAAAAAAGAAATGCTAAAAATACACCTCCAGGAGCTCTGTCAGGACACAAACCTCGATGGCAGAACAAGATAAGCCTGTTCTGCAGAAGAACATTCTTGCAGTCCAAACGGCCACGTGGCACTAAGAGGCCCCATCCAGGAGGGAAGGTCCAGACTCAGGTCTCAAATAAAACTTTTAGTGATTTTCTATCAATCCCACAGCAAACTTCTTTAGAAATCATAGCTTCCCAAGTGGAGCTGTGAGACCAACAGTATGGCCAAGGGCTGCTACAAGGAAACCTAAGCGAAATCTAAGCCAAGGGCAGATGGTGACGCGCTTAATGGTGACAAGGATGTTAGAAACCTCTGCCTCTGATATGATCAGCAGATGCAGGGCTTACAATGGCCACGTCTGTGCAACAGAGCTACGTCTGGACTCCTTGGCTGCCTCAGCAACCTTTTTGCACAGGAGCTTTGCAAGGATCATGACAAGGAGCAGCAGGCTGGGCCATCAGCTGAACAATGCTTGGGTCCACAGCAGCCCGACCCCCCAAAAAACCAAATGTCCCGCATTCCTGGGGTGCCCTGGGGACCCCGCAGCGAGCAGGGAGGGCAGGGCCCACCTGGGGCATACTCCATGGCGATCATGAGCGCCTTGTCCTCCAGGAAGTTCTCGTAGTACTCGATGACGTTGGGGTGGCTGAGCAGCTTGAGCACCTGGCACTCGTTCTGCGCCGCCAGCCGCTCGTCCTTGCTCATCTGCTCCACGGGGATCTGCTTGAGGATGACGAGCTTCTGGTCGGCCTTGCGCAGGCAGAGGTGCACGATCCTGCGGGGCGGGGGGTGACAACAGGGCGTCAGCGGGGCCGGGCAGTGCCCCCAACCCCCAGGGCCACCCGCCCTGTCACCCACCCTCACATAGTGCCATGGTAACGGGGACACCTCAGCATGCCACAGGCCTGGTTGCCCCTCACGTGTTGCCATGGTAACACGGCCTTAG